ATTGCCCGGCTGACCTGATGCGCTGCCTGTCCTCCGACTCCGGCCAACCTGCGAAACGGTCATACCTCTACTCGCGGAGGCGCGTATTTCGAACCGGTCCAGCCTATGTTATTCATCAGGTCATCTCGCTTCCACGGATATACACTGTCGCGTGACTGGGTGGGCACCTTGGTGTTATTCTCGCCAATGTTGAGCGACAGCGGTTGCTTGATCTCGCTGAGCTGAGGTTTGTCGTGGGCTGAACTCACACGTCGGTGTTGTTCTTGCCCATAGCGGAGTCTAGCGGTAGCGTGTCCTTGTTGAGCATGGCGGCAACGTGGGCTAGGTGTTTACAATACCATAGCCCACGTTCTGCGATTGCGGTAACGAGGATGTTCTTGTTGAGCAAAGCGGTGACCTTGTCAGTACGCACTTCATGTGCTATGCTGCCCTGTGAAGCGCTTGGCGGTAACTTGAACGGCGTCAGCTATTTTGTCTGAGCCAAGGATCCGAAGGATCTTTTAGGCGATGGCGTGAATGCTGGCAGGTACGTGCCTCGCGGTTTCGTTTCACGTTCTTGGTTTCGGGATGTCCTGGTGGCGTCCCTGTTTCGTTTTATAGTGTTGTTGTGTTCTGCGGTTCTGTGGGGTGTCCCGATGGCGTCCCTGTCTTCGTTTTAAGGCGTTGTGCTTTGCCGTGTGTCCTTCTTGCGACCCTTTTCTGCTTCGTCGAGTGTTCTTCGTCGAGTATTGGTTGCTAGGTTGTCGAGCTCTGGGTGCTTCGTCGAGTATTCTTCATCGAGTATTGGTTGCTTCGTCAAGCTTTAGGTACTTCGTTAAGTATTCTTCGTCCAGTATTAGTTTCTTCGTCGAGCGCTGTGTGCTTCATCAAGTGTTAGTTGCTTCGTCAAGCGTTAGTTGCTTTGTCAAGCTTTAGTTACTTCGTCAAGTATTAGTTGATTTGTTAAGTATTAGGTACTTCGTTAAGTGTTAATTACTTTGTCAAGTATTAGGTGCTTCGTCGAGTGTTTGGTGCTTCGTCGAGCGCTGGTTGCTTCGTCGAGCGTTGGGTGCTTCGTTCAGGATATGTGTGTGGTGGAACTCCCTACCCCTCCGATACCAAGAAAGAAACGGCGCACACTACAAAATACGGCTACGACGCCTCCCCCTACACCCCCGCCCCTCCCGACTCCTCGACACCTTCCTCTCCCCGGCGCCGCCGGTTCCGCCAACGCAGGCTACCCCCAGCAACCAGCCCACGCCGCCAGGTTCCCCCAGAGTCGGACATACACTTCTCTCCCCTCCAGAAAGAGCCAACAGACTGGTTCGACCCCGTTACGAACCCTTTTGAATCCGAAATCGAACAGCGGCGCGAGCCAGTCAAGGAGACCAGAATCTAGACGACATGGTCCCCACCCGAGTTCAGCAACTAATGATTCGACCACAGTGCCACCGGGAGGTTGAATAGTATGTAAGTCCTTTGCGGTGTTGTTTGTCATGAGGAAACCAAGTCAGTGTCACACAAGCGGCAACCGCTACAGGAATCACTTAGCCTTCCTCTTTGCTACCGTATTACTCCCTCGGACTTTTAGTCAGAGGTCGCTTCGCAATCGCCAGATGCAGAGTGGTAGCAGACTAACGCCTTACAGAGTAAGGTCTAGTCCTTTCCTAGAACCGCATTAGGCCTTGTGTGGATGTGGCATGGTGTGGCCTTGCGTGCCTTGAGGCGTGCACGGGGCCGATGAGAATGACCAGCCCTTACCAGCACCCTCTGCGCCATCTGAGAAGGAGGATTCGGATATGGACGCAGGCAAACAAACGCCGGATCAGGACGAGAAAGGGGACGAGTAGTGAGGTCGATGAGGATGACCAGCCCTTAACTGCGGCTACGAGCTACCAGAGGACATCCCCAGGAAGATTCGGATGTGGACGCGGGCGGGCGGGCGCCGGGTTGGGGCGGGGCGGAGATGGGTATCTGAGGAGAGGTCGGGAGGCAACAACTACGATCCGTGGGAAGAGAGCGAAGGGAAAGGAGAGGGGGTTGGGGGCGTAGCGGGTGTGGATGGGGGCGGCGGACGGGGGCGCCGCTGATGGGAGCTGGGGTGAGCGAGAGGAAGACTGGTGTGGCTGTTGGAGAGGATGGCGATTAGATGGAGATAAAGGGAAGTGGCGCGTGTGCTACACAGTGTGACGGAGCAAGTGGAGCTGTGACATAACGATATCACCTCACTTTCCTGGTCACCTAACTAAACTCTCTCTATTCTCAGATAAAGGCGGTGGGCCTACAGCAGGGCGGCCGATTCTTGGAGAATGATGCTTCCGAGACACATTCTCGTATCTACAACTTTCTCCCTACCTTCGCTCTCATCAACGTTCGCCTCAGAGATTCCGGTACCCAGTTGCGTCCAACCACGGCCATGTCCTGGAACATCAACGAATCCTCGGCTTGTTACGCGACCGTCGGTTAAAACCCGAACGCACGAGCACGAGCAACCAGACGCAAGGTTTGAGACCACGCAACCTGCCGAACAAACCACTACACCCGCACGGTATAAGATAAGAGCAGAGTATACAACACACCAGGAAACACCGGTGGCCCCAATTTGAAGTCCAGTCGTCGGTTTCGAGCAAGAGGGAGCGGACCTTATCCTGGAGAGACCCATCGCTCGGCACCACTCGCAAAGTCTTCCAAAAAAAAAAAACGGCGGCATCACGGCTCTAAGTACGACAGCCCAACGACACGAAATAAGGGCAATCTTAGTTCCAGTGCCGCCCCCAGGCCGCCTCCAAGGGCCGGGCAGCACACTCAAGAACCGCCTTCTCAACTCTTGGATGATCTGGAAGGCCACGAAGGAGCACACCCACGTTATAACGATACGCGCAGACGACTGGGCCCCGTATCCGCCAGCCTCCGGGGCTCCCTCTCTCTCCCACCAAACAAACATCCCTTCCATCAGCAATCTTTAAGATCTTATCCACATGATCCATACGCACACACAGAACCCATCATTTGGGAACACCAGCCCTTGCATCACAGTAACGTGGTACCCCCGGCTCGGGACGACGGGGATAACAATCGGGTTCGCACCATGTATATAATAATTTGTAGCTCGCTCTCCCTCAGATTCCTCTCCAACAATCATCAGTCTCTTCCTGGACACATTTTAACGCCTCCCCATAATTGTCGAGCTCTCTCTGGGTTTTGTAATGCAGAATTTAAGCAATAACAGCGCAGAACAGTTCAAGCCCAGGCATGGGGGAAATACGGAGCCAGTTCCCGTGGAATGATGTTGTATGGGGAATAACCCACACATATTTCCATCTTGGTCCCAAGAGCCTCTCCCTCCACATACCACACCATCCCTAGCAGATAGATCTATGGATCAGTCCTCACCACATCCGACCAGCCGAGTGCTCTACCACTGAGCTATGGGAACTTTTACCGCTGAGCTATGGGAAGTCTAGCACTGAGTTGGAAGGAGCTACCGTGTTACAACTCATATAGCAAAGGTGCTCCTTCGAAATATATCTGGACCTTCTTTCATTATCCAGGGCATTTGAGGGTGGTGCACCCCCCTTTTGCTACGGGTGCATCCCCTTGAAGATAAACTTTTCGCATAAATCCCTAGATACAAGCGTTTTCGGCGTACTCGCAATGGCGAAAGACCAATAGTAAAAAGGCTTTACGATCTATTAACTACGTCCTCAAACCTTTATTTACCGGAAATGAAAAATAAAAGGCCTCGACCTAACGTATATCCAGGGGTTTAGCGAGTGACCTAACTACCTTATACTTTAACTTATATCAACCTTTATAAGTTTAAAACCTTTTATATATAGTGAATAGGCCTTTAACAGATATATATACCGCTTTTAGGAAAAACATTAACAGTAAATAAGAGGGCATATGCGTAGAACGCTATGACGGGGGGATATATCCGTAGCAAAAGGGGCGTGTACCCCTATCAGATGCCTTTACGAGTAATAAACCTTGGCAGAGTCGAACGCAAAGTAGCCGACTAGGTTGGCGATACAGAGTAACGAAATCAAGTTATGAACTAATGCTGGTCCCCTCCCCAAGAAAACGACAGTCATTCTATTCCTAGATAGAGTCAGTCAAGCCATTTTTTACCCAAATACGAATTGGTATCAAGCAAGGTTTGGTTACCTGCATCCGATCAGCCGGCCCTTCCTCCCCCTGCTCCTCCGCCTCGTCCTCTACCTTTACCACCACCTCCTAATGTTGCGGGCGAAGGCGGCGGGGGCGGTGGTAGCCGTGCCTCTGGACATGCCAGGGGCTACCAATTGGATTTGGTATACTAAAGGTGTCATCAAAGAGACTCTCTTAGCCCCCCCCCCCCCTCCCCCCCGGGCAACTTGCCGACCGGCGCGGCCGAGGATGGGGCGGTGTTGTTGGACATTGTCTATCTATTCTTCAGCACACACGCCTTGTGTGGCAAGTAGGCCCCATGCGATAGCGAACACAATGGCCGAAGCTAGGGAGATAGGATATAGTAGTGGTTACTGATGAGAGTTTGTTAGCACAGAGAGGGTCTCGTATCTGCAGGGTCAGCTTCCGGGCCTGAGAACCTACAAAGCCGAAACACTGGAATAATTGCAGAGCTATCCAGATATTAGTATTTAGGAGGATAACATCGATACAATGAGGAGAGCGAAGGTGGTGACGTGGATAGCGTACTTACTTGGTGGTGTCGCGAGGTTACAGAGGAAAGTTTCGGCGCCAGGGTCGCTCTGCCGTTTGTCAACATGTCTCTCGCGCACTCGGTAGCAATTGCGGGAAGGTGCGATCCAAGATTTCGCCCTTTCCCACGATTTGCACCGGGCCCCGCACCAACCAATGAAAGGAGCCGCAGCTCAGCGGTAGAGTTCCCATAGCTCAGCGGTAGAGCATTCGGCTTGTGCATCATCAAATTTCCACCAGCTCCAGATATATAAGCGATGGCAGGAGGAGCTCTACCAACGCAATGGGAGAATGGTAGCTTCCATAGCTCAGCGGTAAAAGTTCCTATAGCTCAGTGGTAGAGCAACCGGCTGCAGTAAATTATATATATATATAATTTGCTGGTTCCGGTAGGTCTCGTGTTCAAATCACGATGGGAACTTGATTTTTTGCTTGAATTATCTGTCACAGACAGAAACGCACCTACGGAAGCGAGCTTGGGAGCGGAGGTGGTGTGGATGTTTGAATTCAAAAACAGACGTGTGCAACCATTGGCCAGGCCGAGGAATTACCCCACCCATGGGTCCATTTCGGTCCGTGCGTTTTTTACAGTTCTGAAAATGAAAGTTTCATTCTTCGAACGGAAATAGACCTCGCTCGTCGCCACAGTTTGCACTAGTTTCGCTGAGATTTCACCCACAGTTTCTTCCAGTACGGCTCATGGGTAATTCGACCCATGGGTAATTCCTAGGCCTATCTCAGAACGAGGTGCCATTGGCCGATCGCCAAGTCTTGTAACGCTGCCACCAGAACTTTGCACAGGCGGGTGGGCCTTCAAAAGTCGAAAGTCCGCGATTACTTCCACAGTTCGCAAGCCTTGCTTCGGTCGGGCGTGCAGGTAGACTTGCGATTTCATGAAGGCGTTCCTGCCGACCAGACGAAGTCGGCCACCCAGTTTGGATCCTCGCCCTTACGAAGCTCATGGGCTCGGGCCCACTGGGCGTTGTCAAATCCCGTCACACAGAACAAGGAACCGCTGGACAGTCTATTCCCCGTCTTAACACGTCTCGGGTTCTGAAACATTGTGAAGATGTGGGACGAAGGACATTTGTCTGGCGGTGAACCACATGTTCAAACATGGAAGCGTATCAGAGGCGGTGTTACTGGAGGTGCGGGTCTCCCGGGTACCTACACGGACGATCAGTGTCTTCCTCGAGTTCATGTCAAGGCTCGAGCCACCAAAAAGACAAATAGGTTCGACTGCATCATTCCTCCTCAAGCACGGGGTATAGGTACCCGATCATCCTATGACCGAGTACAGGGCAGCCTGAAGCTCACAAAGGGCGTGGAGGTTCAGGAGATGCCGAGCAAGCCGGTGTAAAAAGACAAGAGCAACGTCAGGTGCTGTCTGGGCCATCTAAGAATCCCATGCAATTAGCAAGCCGACACAGCGGGGAAGGCAGTGGCAGCGGAGCCAACGGCATAGGTCTTCGCGCCGACGGTGGTACGGGTCAAGGCTCATGCAAGGTCCAAACAAAAATAAGTCGTCCGCGACCGGTGGGACGCGAAAGCCCGAGCTAACTAGGTACAAGTGGCTGGGACGGGGCCCGTACCCCGACACCAGGGGCCTCAACAGATGATTGGCTATGGCAGACGACTGGGCTCACAGAACAAGACACGGGAGGTTTTCCTCGTCTAGCAAGAAGTTCACCGCCGACCTGCCGCTGCGGAGCGGTCATGGAGTCCCGGGGCCTGATATCTAGCTAGTGTGGTATTGTACCTACGAAGTTAGAAGATCACGAAGGAAACCAAGCTTCTGGCAACCGGTGTCTGACAACCGTGTTCCGCCTCCTACCTGGCGGACTTCCGCAACAATCGTTGGCGCCCCAACGAGCACGAGACTACCGACGCCACGACCAACAACGCAATCAACCGTCGCCGCCAACCACTACCTGATGGGCGGTCAGACGGCAGGAATTTCCGACAGAACCTCCTCTTGGCGGTCGTCGTTAAAGAAGTTGAACCGTAGATCATATTCGCTTCCGGTTGTAGCATGGTTGCCCTAGTCTAACGCCCTCATACGGCGCAGGAGCCCAACGGTAGCCCCAACGTTACCCCAACATTCCCGTAGCGGTAGGTGTCACAACAAACACACCGTGCTCTTAGTCATGCAACTCCCGTCAATCGAACCAGTTTGGGAACTCTTTCTCGGTGACGAAAGGCACAGCCGCTTAGCACGGCATTGCTCACGATTGGAATTGCCTGCCGCGGCATTCGTGAGGCGCACTGTCCTCGGGATCGATGTTCATAGGGCACGTTAATAGGATTGATCCCTTGAATCCACACAACTCAAGGATGTGGTTGGGCGTGATTATTGGTTGCTGAGGCTCTCAGAGTATGGTTAGGCTTACACTGGAGCGTACAGCAGCATCCGCAAGTCTAAGGCGAGGATGTTGGAGGAGTAGGCTGAACCCTGCGGCTATACGACGGGTATTGCAATGGTCAAGAGCTAGTTGAACACCATGCCAAGAGATATAAAGCCCTCCCTGAATCCGCTCGAGTAGGACAAAAGCCGGAAGCAAGAATCGACAAGGCTTGGTCACTTATTCAAGATCAACCCCAACCCACCTGTCTCCAGTCTTCCAGAAAGGCCCCCCTTCACAATGAAAGCCACCGGTACTTTTATTCTGTCGGCCATTCTGGCCTCCCTCGTCGCCGCTGCCCCGGCTGTCGACCACCCTCCCGCCACACCGGCGAGGTCGCCCAACGCTGCGCAACCGGCCAACCTGTTCAAGCGCGACTGCAACGGAGGCTCATGCCCATGCAACCTCCCCGACTATTCGTTCTGCATCAACAACCAAGCCCAGCCCGACAGCTGCTTCTGCCAGAGCGCCTGCTGCTCGGCCAATAACGGCTATTGCTGGCCCGCTGACCAGCCCCACCTGCCAGGGGATTACTGCTTTGGCGGAACGCCCGGCAAGTAGGGAAGAAATGCTTGGAAAAAAGACGGGTGGGATATGGTTATAAGGGGTTCTTGTCCTCGACTAAGGGGGGATTGGGATATGAGGACGAGGCACAAGGTCATCGCGGACTGTCCTTTCTTCTTTTCTTCTTGGCTTGGCTTGGCTGTTCGGCACTCTCCCCTGGTCTTGTTCACACATTGCGCCGTTGTACAACATGACCACCAACTTATTTATCGGGGCCCAGCAGAGTTACGTCGAACTTCAGTTCTTAGAAAAGTTGTATTACACACCAACCGCACCGAAAAACCCAAAAAACACAGCAGATTCCGGTTTTAGTCTAGCTACCTAGTTATACCACTATTACTTTTCTTGGTATAGGACACGGTGTAGTCGTCCGTCTGCAACAGATAGTACCTAATTCTCAAGCAATTAGCAAATACATCTCTGCGAGAGACTGAGCATTAATATCCAGCTTGGAGGTGACGAATTACCTAGTCAATGACCAAGCCGATCCTCTCACCTTCCTTGACGCTGTGATCCCAGGCGGCACGAGCGAGAGCCACAGATTTTGTTTCCATCCCGCTATGTGTTGATGTGCCTCTATGCCCAGACACCGAATCTGAAGTGGCATATATAGGTACCTAGGAATGGGAGTGTACATGATTCGTATTCAACTTCATGATTCAGAAGGATGTTGCAATATATATGGATGACCCAGGAAACAATGTCTAGATACCTAGGTAACCAGTCTCTCTAACTCTCTCGCGTGAAGGATGTAAACAAGAAAACAAGGGGCAAAAAAAAAAAAAAAAAACGCAGAGAACACCGTAGTAAAACCCCGATAATGATGCGTCGAAGTCTCTTAAAATGGACGAAACTCATATTCCGCCTGTGAAGCATTATACCTGTTGCAATCATTATGCCCAGGACCCGTCCAACACTCCATCGTCCCTCGTCTACTCCCCCTATCCCCAACCAGCACAATATTTGCCTGCATCAACAAGCTCAACGTCAGTTTCTCAGACGTGTACGTCCCGCCTGGCTGAATAGCCGAATACCCCTCTTTCCTCAGCTCCTTGTCGAATTCCGATTTTGCGATCGCCAGACCTGCGGATGTGAGACCGAGGGTGAACCCTGCAGCGGCCCCTGTGCTCGCCGCTATCAGGGGTGTGGCGGCTCCCAGAGACGCAATCGTGGCGGCAATGCTGCCGGCGATCGAGGCCCATTGGAGCGCTCCGGTGTTGGCGCCATATTTGATATACATGGTATCCGAGGTGTCGTTGTAGACGGAACAGTACGCGCCCATCGCGAGATGGGTATGTCGTGATTGCAAGTCCGAATTAGAAGTTAGGAACTTGGAGGAAGCGTACGGATATGCGGTGTTCAGATGGAACGAACGACTAAGAGTGAAATACTCCCAGACATGACTGCCATAAGAAACTAATGGACGAGGAGAGACACATCTAATAATCAACAGTTCGACCAGACAGCGTCATCAGTCAGGCTGTGAGGCAGCAGCCTCCATTGAACGCCACCATTGCCGACACCGCCCCAAAGAACCCAAACAAAAAGAAGCCATATTTGGTAAACAGTCACCTTTAGCTCATAATTGGCTTTAATTTCTTCGGTGAGTTATGTAAGCGTGTTGGGCATGTCTCAGTGCTGTGACTCTTCGTGCGAGCACATCATCAGGAGGGTAATTGCTGGCATCGGACTGAGCCTTCCCCAACAAGTCTGCCCAGCTGAGTGCACGTGGCTGCAATCGTGCTTGACACCTGCCACTAACATCGCTTTCGCGTTGAACGCTCAGTCAACCTTGCGGGGTTTAGTTGTCAGGCCAGGAATCCAGGCCAGAGTGAAGGGGTGGTAGTAGTGCATTCCAGGCTCACAGCCAGGGTAAGAACAGTGGTTGGGGGTGGGTAGGTTACAACATTGAACTCTGGCCTACTCAAAATACAGGACTTTTCCCTTCCTTCTTATCTTTCCTCCTCCCCGGAACCCTCTCCGTGACCGGCCCTGCGTTTACTCGCTGCGTGAGCCAGGCCCGCACTTGGGCACAAATCCTGTCCTTGTGAGCTGGAAGCTCTGCAGGCCTATCCAATAACCCTTCTGTAACCCCGCTCTGTGGCAACGTCGATCAACCCTCTGATGATCTGGATCCAATCGCCCGGATCTGCATCCCCGGCCTAGGCCGATTGGCCGGCCTGACATTAGTGCTTCTCTCCGAGGTTGTGAATCTGGACCACCAATCCGCTGTATCGCTCTTTCTCGAGATTTCTGCACCTTTTGGCGGCCTCTTTGATGAGATAACCGAGAAGTCTAAGGTTTCCGACTTTGCGTCTCAGACCCCGATGCCTTCACCATTTCGGCGGGACCAACAAGGCAGACCTTGATAGCTATACCGGTATCAGCAACAGCCCGGTCCGGACCAGCGCTTGTCCAACCTGCTATGCAACGTCAAGGACCACGACAAGATAGA